GCTTTCTTGCAGGGCAGCCTGCACGAGGAGATCTGGCTGCGCCGCCCCCCGGGCTTCACTGGGTCGTTCCCTCCTGGTACCCAGTGGAGCCTCCGGCGGCCGGTCTACGGTCTCCGCCAGGCGCCACGTGAGTGGCACGACACACTGAGGACTACGCTTGCGGCTCTTGGGTTCGCGCCTTCTACTGCTGACCCGTCGTTGTTTCTGCGCACCGACACTTCACTACCGCCGTTCTACATCCTCGTGTACGTCGACGACTTGGTTTTTGCCACTGCTGACACTGAGGCTCTCGCCCACGTGAAGTCGGAGCTGCAGAAGAGACACACGTGCACAGACTTGGGTGAGCTGCGCAGCTACCTTGGCTTGCAGATCACCCGAGACAGAGCACGTCGCACCATCACCTTGACTCAGTCACACATGGTGCAGCAGGTCCTTCAGCGCTTCGGCTTCACCTGGTCTTCAGCACAGGCCACTCCTCTGGCTACAGGTCACACGCTCTCAGCTCCACCTTCGGACGAGTCCGTAGAGCCGAGTGGTCCTTACCCAGAGCTAGTCGGCTGCCTCATGTACCTGATGACTTGCACTCGACCTGACCTCGCGTACCCTCTTGGTCTCCTGGCTCGCTACGTGGCTCCTGGTCGGCACCGACCTGAGCACATGGCTGCTGCTAAGAGGGTACTGCGTTACTTGTGCAGCACATCAGGCATGGGGCTAGTGCTTGGAGGGACGAGCCCAGTTGTCCTCACTAGGCACTCAGACGCTTCTTGGGTTGACGACCTGGCTACTCAGCGGTCGTCACAGGGTTACACCTTCAGCCTTGGCTCTGGTTCAGTTTCGTGGCGTTCTACACGCTCGTCTTCAGTTCTCGGCTCCAGTTGTGAGGCTGAGATCTACGCCACCGCCATGGCTGCACAGGAGTTACGCTGGCTCACCTACCTGCTGACTGACTTGGGAGAGCAGCCTCGTTCTCCTCCAGTGCTGTACGTTGACAACAAGGCAGCCATTGCCTTGTGTGAGGAGCACAGACTGGAGCACAGAACGAAGCACATTGCTCTGCGTTACTTCCTGGCTCGAGAGTTGCAGCAGCGAGGCCAGCTTCGTCTTCGCCACGTGGCCACTCGGGCGAACACTGCTGATATATTCACCAAGGCACTTCCGTCTGGTGATCATCAGCGCTTTTGTACTCTGTTGGGCCTTGTGCCTACGCTTCCACACTTGCTGTAGTCTCTGCTTGTATTGTGATCTGTACATATATATGTATATGCATGCTGGTTCTTGCTAGGTAGCCATCACTGTACTGTTATTGCTGCATATATATCTCTGCATGTGAACTGGCCCTGTGGCCCTTTGCTTGTGCTCGGAATGCGTGGTGACGTTGTGATCCACCCTGAGCTTGTTTTGCTTCTCTTGACTGGTCGTTTGACCCCTTGTTCTCCCCCACTTTGCCTATGGGGGTGTGTCAAACTATATGTGCTGCATATTGTCTAGGCTGTAGTGGGGTAGCCCATATGGGGTACAACCCAATTAGGGTTTACTACTTGTACTCCTGCATCCTGTTAGTTCACATCATTTCTGCTGCTAGATTCTAACAAGCTGTTCAAGCAACCCACTGCCTTCCTTTTTTCGTTCGCCGTTGATGACGTGCTCGTGACGGCGAAAGTCTCAGCATCTTACTCCAGCTACTGAGTGGCTTGGCATGTCTTGCACTTTTGAGCTGATGCCTGCAATGTGACTGACACTGAGCTGTGATTACTGTGTTGAACCTGCATGTTGTCAGAGGTCCACTGGAGATCCCCGATGATCCTAGGGAAGGGTTACAGGCACGTCGGCCTGGGGGGTTATGGGCGCACTCACCCGCTACACAAACAAGCCCCTTTATCCCAGTGGTTAGTGGCTGGGATTCTGACATGGTATCAGAGCGAAGGTCTCGGGTTCGATTCCCGGTGTGTGCACTTCGGGCATCCTAGTGTGGGGGGGTGTCAGAGGTCCACTGGAGATCCCCGATGATCCTAGGGAAGGGTTACAGGCACGTCGGCCTGGGGGGTTATGGGCGCACTCACCCGCTACACAAACAAGCCCTTTTATCCCAGTAGTTAGTGGCTGGGATTATGACACATGTAGATGTAGATGTTGCATTTTCCAGTTTTTGGGTTGCGAAGCAACCTATTACGATCGTTATGTACAAATTTTTTTCAACCTCGAAAAAAAAATATATATATATAGTGAACGGTAGTTATGGTAAGTGATTGACTGCTACGGTATGTATTTGCCTCGGCAATTCGCCACATTCGTTCTCATTTCCTAGTTTGCCTCGACTGAACCTACCCGTATATTGTATGGATCAAACATGAACATGTGTTGCCGAAATGATGTTACTGTGAACGCATGACTGTCTATTCCGTACCATGTTATGCATAGATGAAGTATAATGATGGATATGGTGAACCAAATATTGAATGAACAATGCATAAATATAATGCATATGCTACTGTGGTAAATATACCATAGTATATTTTCCAGCTTTAAGTCGTAGTTAAATGAATGCTTAGCATGATGGAAATGCGTAACAGTTAATTGACACAGGCTCTATGCTACCGCATCCCCTGCCTAGCATGGGGGGGAGCTCAATAGCATAGTTTCTGAATCATCCAACCGTTACATGAAACAACACAATCTGTGTAAATTAAAAAAATGATCAAGATCCATCAAATCCAGTTCAAGTGGACACACTCACTGAGTGCGCAAAGAACCTTCTCGGAAATGATGGTTTGACCATCTTTTTAAAACCCACAGATCCGCATTGTTAATGCGATGACAGATGCATACGGAAGAGTGTGCACACACAAAGACACGCACTGACACACATACCGATATGCACACAACTCATGACAGAATCCGTTCACACACAAAAGGGCAATGAAAAAAAAAACAGTAAAAACAATAAAACAAATGCAAACAAGATTTATCAATACAATACAGCTCTACAAGTCACAACTATTATCGTTACACTTCATAAGAAATCCTGGCAGCGCGCAGGAAATAGCAAAGCCTCGGGGGGGGGGGGGGGGAGGAGGGGAGGGAAGGGTGGTGGAGGGAAAGAGAGGGGAGGGAGGGGAAGTTTAGATTCTCGTCCAATAAACAGCAAATAAGAGGAAGGCTTAGGACAAGCGAGCTAAATATAGAAAACAACTTGTAAAAAGGCGATTAACCTATTGCGATGGGTTATAAAAAAATCCTATTAACGGTTATAAAAATCAAGAGAAAAAAATGAAACACGACTCAAATAACACGATCTGAAATAAAGGGAAAACGATCTAAGTAACACCAGGAAATGAGGAGGCAGAAAGCAGACTTAAAAAAAACAATGACCGTTAAAAAGAATGGAAAGGAAACGAGAAAAAAACGTGAGAGAAAAAGAACGAGAGAACGAGAACGAGAGAACGAGACAGAATGGAAAAGAGAGAACGAGAAAGAGAGAACGAGACAGAACGCAAAAGAGAGAACGAGAGAGAGAGAGAGAGAGAGAGAGAGAGAGAGAGAGAGAGAGAGAGAGAGAGAGAGAGAGAGAGAGAGAGAGAGAGAGAGAGAACGAGAGAGAGAGAACGAGAGAGAGAGAACGAGAGAGAGAGAACGAGAGAGAGAGAGAGAGAGAGAGAGAGAGAGAGAGAGAGAGAGAGAGAGAGAGAGAGAGAGAGAGAGAGAGAGAGAGAGAGAGAGAGAGAACGGGCAAAGAGAACGGGAGATAGAGAACGGGAGAGTGAGAACGGAGATTGAGAATGGGAGGGAGAGAGAGAACGGCAGAGAGAGAGCGGAAGAGAGAAAACGAGAGAGCGAGAGAGAAGAGAGAAAGAGACAGAGAGAGAGAACGAGAAAGAGAGAACGAGAGAGAACGAACGAGAGAACGAACGAGGGATAGAAAGAGAGTTCAATAAACTACGTTTTCGAAAAAAAAAAAAATCTATGTAGCATATGGGGACAAAAACAGATTTTAAGAACGAAAAAACAATGCAGCTACGAATAGAAGGAGAGGCTCATCGAAGAGTCAGAAGAAGGAGAAGGAAGGTGAAGAAAGGATACAGAAAAAAAGGTAACGGAAACCAAGACAAACGTCACTAGATGCGGAATCTTTTGAAAGGAAGGAACAGCTCGATAAAATCTCAATAAACGGAATGACCGAGATCAGAAAGGAACGAACATGGGACTGGAAGGAAAAAATAAAAAGGGAAAAACAATAACTAGAGCATATAAATAGAGACATCGCAAGGTAAGACGAGAGGTAAGAGCGCGATAGGGAATGAAAAGAAACATGCAGCCTTATTAACGACCTAAGGAAAGCTGACGTCTTTACAAAGGCCTGGAACTTAGGCTTTAACTGCTAGTTAAAACAACCAAATGCGGAAGTAAGACGATTGCGTCGCCTCTTGTTTTTTTTTTAGTGAAACTCTTTGAGCTATCGTCAAGACCAGTGCTTGGGCTCCCTTTGTTAATCTCATGCTGCATTTAAAAAACCACGTCCCTTGGATACAAAATGGCCGGGAATTTCAACATATGAGTTTTACTTGTAGAGACAAAGCCCTCGATCATGTGAGTTTTTTTTTGTACCTATACACATACGCTCGTATTCTCTTTATATTTAGACAGTGAGACTACAATTCTAACATTCGCTTGGTGCTGCGGAGCTTCTTATACTGTACAGACTGTTTCTGTTGCTTCTGCAGATGGTTTTGAGCGAGTTGCGCGCCCAACCAACGTTTTCACCCTGTTTCTCGGTACACTGAACTGTGCCCAACTGCCGGCAGACCTTGTTATCTTCGATTTAACTAATTGAACCATATTAAAACGTGATCGAACCACCTTTAACCGTGAAGTTTCCATCTTGGCTCCATTATGATAAGCACGGTATTATGCATAGTGGATTAGTAGTTTTATTTTAGCCGCGAACTTTCTTTTACCGAAGACCGGCTTCCGAGATGTCTGGTTTCTCGCGGCAGATGCGTAAGATGCGGCTCCTGGAACACTCATGTCAGCTTTCAGGCAAGAGGGGCGGCACCAGATGTTTCATGAAGGAATCGATGTCGAGTTGCAGAGAGTCGATAAGTTGCTGCACTCTGTAAAGCGTTTCCTCTAGATCCTAAAACGGTTGAAAAAAGATGCCGCGGAGTATCAGAATGCTTTGGGTTCTATTGCACCCTGAGCCGTGTCGTGACATTCGGCAGCACCCCCCTGGTACCCCTCGTAACTTGGCGCCAAATGATGCCACATACTGTACCGTGAGCACGGTAACTCGACGCTCCCAGTTCCATGCTGTTCTGCCGCACAGCGCGGAATAGCGACGACGTATCTCAGTTCTGTACGTGCGCGGAATAGCGACGGAATATTCTAAAGTATGAAGGCGTCCGTCCTTCGCATAGTATCTCATCCGTCACTTCGACTCCGTTGTCACGCTGAGAAGTGCCGCCATAATCCGTTGGCAGCAGTAATACCTTCCCTGCCATGGCACACACGTCTCTGCGATTCGCGATTGTCCTCGCTAGTGAGTACCTCAGCGCCATTGCCAGCATGTTCTGTTCGCTCTGGGTGTCCCCCCCCCCCCACCCTTTTGCGATTTTTGTTCCACGAATCATGTGCGTCGTAAGGTCTGCTTCAAACTAGGTCCCTGATTTGTGCTAAACATTCTCCAAGTCCTGATATATATAAACCGAGTCGTTTTCTTCCCGCAGCACTGCTCTCGCTCTCCTGCAGCGCCATCGCCGGGCGTCATCTGCTCCAAACCTCCAACACACGCTGTACGCCACTCTCGCGTTGCTTGTCGCAATGTATTGTTGCGCCGCACGCGCCGCGCTGTCTTGTTGCGCGCCAGACTGTCTTGTTTGCGCGCCACATTGTCTTGTTGCGCGCTCCATTGTAATCGCGTTGGCAGCACGATTGTCAAATCGTTGATAACTTCATCCTTCCGTTTAACATCCTTACTTTCTGTGGTGTATCCTGCGCAGACCAAGCAATGGCTAGGGTTGCCTCTAAATTTCGTACTATGCCTGGCGAAAGTTCCCTCTATGCGGAAGTGTAAGCACCACACCGAACTTATTACCTTTCATTCTCCACTTTTTATCACGCTTAGAAATGTCAAGGTTCCCGCACTCGCGTCAGCAAATCGCAGAAGATTTAAATTATTTATACTGAAGGTTAGCATTGTCTGGCCTTGCAGGACCAATTTTGTTGACCGCATATCTTCCAGGCTGTCTAACACCCTCCAAATCCTGGTCTCCAACCCCCCCACCTCCGCCTCTCCCCTCGCAGCACAGCTAAGTTTCAAAACATCTCCTTCGACTTCCACTTCGAAGGCTTAGCACCCAAGGCCTATGCCACCTTACCCGCTTTCTACGAGAGCGCGACAGGGTACTATGTGGCTGGCATTCCATGCCACGTGACAATAGACCGAGTGAAAGGCACTTGGAATTGCACCGGCTCGCAATCCACAGCGCTCACTACGCCTTATAAGCCAGTTGGGTCCTTCAGGTTCTTGGTCGATGCTGGTCCGTTCAATAATCCCTCGGCCTTCTACGTTGGGGTTACAGTTGACCAAGCAATAGTGGCTGGGGTGACATTTACCGACCTGCTGGTGAAGGGGACGGTGGGAGCGAGTGTAAGGAGCTTCTGACAGATCTCCCTGGCACCAGCAGCATTAACGGCCAGTCTTGATTCTGCCAGCGCTGGGTTTTCACACCCGACTTGTTACTTCCTATCTGCTAGTCCACCTGCTCCTACTTCCATATGGTTCCAAAACATAAGGCTTTGCCGTGGTTTTATGTGTATAATATAAGCTCCACTACCGGAATTTACTTCTCTCAGCCTCAGACATGGCCCAAAGTTGCACCTGGGCCACTCTTTGGGACTACCCAAATACTGATGCAAACACCTGTGGTCATTCCCACCCGCTGCATCAGCAGCGGAACCCCTGGACATCCCCCATCAGAAGAGATTGGAGCTTTGTACCTGCAGTCCAAATATTCATTGTGTGGATACAGATGATGGTGTGCTCAGGATTTTACACTTTGTAGATAACTAAAGCTGCTTTGCAAGATGTGCATTGTAGGTATTTTTCCAATATCACAATGAACCGTATCGTACACAACACAACCTCGACATTTGTCGTTCCCAAATCCCGCAAGGAGTGATGAATGATTCGACGCTGCTGGGTGTTGGTCGCACTCCACCTAGTTCCCGCGCTTTGCGGGGGGTGTTTTACGGGAGAGGCGAACGCTTGCCGATCATGCCGGCCTACGAACGGGAGGAAGGACTCTTCTTTCTTTTCGCGTGCTCCTCGGCGTACTTAGATATTAATGCGGAAGTTATAGGTGACTTATTCGCGGCTTATCTATAGCGGGTCGGAATAGGCGTTCCGCTTCCAGCAAAAGCGCTGTTTCCAGTTCCATTTCGACGCGTCCAGTTCTACTATTGTTGAAGGACGATGCTTGTTCATTTTGCTATTTATCTTGCAGCGGTAGCGACATAGTTAATTTATCGCGAATAAGCAATAAGTCGTTGCGTTACGAAAAATAGCTGAGATCCCGTAGAAGTCGCTGCGGCGACAAAGGATTCTTTGCTGAAGTCATCTCTCTGTGACGGAATGCCGCCCAAAGCTCCTATCACGCGGTAAGCATTTCTTGAAATTTCGAACTCAACTTTTAAAGCTCCCATCACGCAATTAGCTGCTAATTTGAAAGGCTGACTCGTTTTATGCCTTAATAATTCAATCCAGAGATTAGCTTCGGTATTGCGTCTGACACAGTCGATGGTTATCCGAGAACAGACATTCTGGATTCAACCCGTTTTCATATGAATAGAAATCTTCTACACATCTTTCTTACCCACCTGTTCTTTTGCTGTCTAAAGGCCAATCCACACACAAAAGAATATTTCGTCCTACCCCCACCTGTTCACTACCTACCTGCTCCATGCTCCCATCGCAGAGGAAGGTTCCAGGTGATAGAAGGCGATCAGTCCGACAGCGACATAGATGTTTCCCCCTGGCCGCCTTCCTCCGCCTCGTCTGCCGCCGGCAGGGCCGCAACCGGCGCTCCTGCAGGCGCCGCCGCCGCAGCAGCAGGCCCAGTAGAAGCAGCAGGAGCAGCGCCGAGTCGAGGCTTGGCCAAGCAGGGATCAGGGCCGTTGGATCGACGGCGAGTGCTGGACAGCATCAGTGGTCCTCTGCCTGCTCCTGCTGCTGCTCCTCCGTCCGCCACCGCTGCTGCCACTGCTCCTGACTCAGTTGCCGCTATCGCTGCTTCTTCTACTCCTGCGACTTCCGCAGCTGCCACTGCTGCAGCTGCTGCTGCTTCTGCGACTGCTGCTGCTGCTGGGTCTACTAGCACCAGCAGCAGCAGCGGTGGTGGCACCATCAGCAACGTTACGGGTTCATCTAGTGCAGGTAGCACCCGCGCAGGTGCTCCCTCCCAGGAGCCTCGCCCCCGGCAGTTCCTGTCAGGGCCTCTGCCTGCCCTGGACGAGGGTCCGGGGGACGATTGGCGCAGGGGGCAACGGGCGGAGAGCAAGGGGCTAGGGGTAAAGGCAGCGGGCGCAGCAGCAGGAGTTGAGGCTGATGGGAGATCAGAAGAGGAGGCTGCTGCTGCTGCTGTTACAGTAGCTGGTGGTGCCAGTGGCGCTGCATATGCGGGTGTTGGTAGGGCTGTCTCTTGTGTTGCAGAGGCAGTAGGGGGGGATTCGGCGCATCTGGCTGGGAGGGCGTGGTCGTCCGGGCCTTTGCCAGACAAAGGGCCTGCTGGGGCAGCTGCTGGTGTTGCTGGGTTGTCGCGCGGACCAGCAGCAGCAGCAGCAGCAGCAACAGTGGCAGGAGCAGGAGGAGGAGCAGAATGGGCAGCAGTTGCGGCTGCTGTGGTGGGAGGGGGAGAGAGAGAAGTTGGGGTTGGGGCGAGAGGGGACGGCAAGGTGGGTGGGGCGGATGGGCAAGGGGTGGGAGTGAGGGGAAAGGCGAAGAGTGGGCCACTGTTGGGAGACAAGGCTGCAGCTGCAGCCGGGGTGATTGTGGTGGACAGGTTCCTGGTGAAGGACGATGCAGAGCGGTACGTGGTGGTGGTGTGCAGTATAGTGGGGAGGGGGGTCCGCAGAGCAGAGCAGAGCAGTAAGTGGGGGATATGATGGCAGTCTCATATGATAGAATGAGGTGATATAATGTTGCGATTACCATGGTTTTTTGGGTGTGGCCGTGTGTCTGCCCTTCCTTTTCAGGCACCTAAAAAAGCATGGCCGTTTGTCTGCCATGCTATGTGCGCTTTCCTATGCACCCTTGCCCCGTCCCGCTCTCTTCCTGCTCCCCTTCTCCTCCACCCCCCCTCCCCTTCCCCCATCCCCCCATCCCGCTCTCCTCCCTCCCCAACCCCCACTACCCACTCCCCTATTCGCTGACTTCTCCAATGCTCCCCTTTCCACAGTCATCCACCGTCTCCCTGTGTGCCGCTGCGCCCCCCTGCGCCCCCCTGCGCCCCCCTGCGCCCCCTTGCCCCCCTCTCCGCCCCGCTTTTCCCGCCTTTCCCCCCCTTTGCCCCCCTTTGTCCCCTGCGCCCCTTGCGTCCCTTGCCCCTTTGTCCCCCTCTGCGCCCCTTTTCTCCGCCTTTGCCCGCCTGCGCCCTCCTGCAACCCCCATGCCTGTGCGAGCAGGCATGCAGGCTTGAAGGCATCTCGGCAGGGGAAGCTGCCATCGCGCTTCACGTTTGAGCCTGCTGACGACCCGTCGGATTTCGACGACGCCTCTCCTCTCCCTGCTGCTTATCAGCACCCCACTGCGACCTCTTCCATCCCAGCCACTGCTGCTGCTCCCGCCGCCACCTCTGCTGCTTCTCTTCCTGCCGACTGTCCTCCTCCTGCTGCTGCCGCCATCGCTGCTGGTGCCGCTGGTGGTCCTGATTCTGGTGCTGCCGCGGGTGCTCGTGTGGCTGCTTCTGTTGCTGCGCCTGCTGCCTTGTCTGTAACCACAGGCGGTACATCTGGTGCAGGCTCATCTGCTGCTTCTCTTTTAAGCAGAGGTGGTCCTGCGAAGCCCTATTCCGGCCAGATACAGCCTGCGCCAGGTACGCCCTCCCCACATGAGTCCACAGGGGGTGGGGGTTTCACTGTTCATAGAGGCCCAGGTGGAACCACAGGTAGGTTTACAGAGGTGCGGGAAGGGAGAGGGAGAGAGGAGGGGGGGAGGGAGGAGAAGTGGGGCGTGGAGCGGGTTAGAGAGGAGAGAGTGAGGGATGGTTCGTGGGAGGATAAGGAGAGGGAGAAGGGGAAGGAGGAGAGGGAGCGGAGGAGAGATGAGAGGAGCAAGGTGGATAGGGGGAGAGAGGAGAAGGGGAAGGAGGAGAGGGGGAGAGAGGAGCGGGCAAGAGAGGAGAGGGTTAGAGAGGAGAGACTGAGGGGAGAGCGGGGGAAGGAGGCACGGCCGAGAGAGGAGAAGCCAGGCCCGAGGGAAGGAGGGGTGTTTGCCCGGGAGGTGGGAAAGCTTAAAGAGGAGAGGGCACGAGAGGAGAGGGCGCGAGAGGAGAGGTTGCGAGAGGAGAGGGCGCGAGAGAAGAGGAGGGAGGAGAGGAGCAAGGAGGGAGGAGGGTCCAGAGAGTTGAAAGGGCGGGAGGAGAAGGGGAAGGAGGAGAGGGGAGGAGTGGGAGGGGGGAGGAGGAGGGGAGGAGGAGGGGGGGAGGAGGCGGAGGGGTTGGGGGAGGGGCAGGAGGAGGAGGTGAGCAACAGTGGCAGGGCGAGCAGGCGTGCAGCAGAAGGGGCGGTTCTCAGTAACGACAGACGACTCGGACGACGAGGGAGGAGAGAATGGGCATGGCGCCCATTGTGCTGCGCAGCTCCCTCATGCCCCGCCCAGCTGGTCAGCAGCAGTCTTCTGCTGCTGGAGGGGCGCGTGCTGCCCCCCAACCGCCCTCCCACGCCTTCGCATGGGGTGCCTGCTGCTGCTGCTGCTGCTGCTGCTGCTGCTGGGTCCTCCCACCTCCCTTTCTTTCAGAAAGGTTGGTGATGGAAAGAAGGAATAGGCAAAACAGTGATGTGGCTCTTTCCTTCTTTGTGGTTTTACACTTTCTTACCTTCATGCTCCATTTTTCTTTACCTTCTTTACAATCCGTCCCCAAACCTCTTCCTCCTCTCCTTGCTCCCATCTCCATATGTCAGATGTGGCCCCCCTCCCTCCTTCCCGTCCTTGCTCTTCCGTCTCATCCCCTCTTCAAGCCTTCGTCTTGTCATTCCGTCTCGCTCCTCCTTCCGTGTTCTTGTCTGCTGTTCTCTCCCTGTTTAGGAATCCATTACGTCTGCAAGCGGGCCGCTGTCTGCTGCAGCAGCACCCTCCCCTCGTACCTCCTCCACATCATCCTCCTCTGGCCCCCTCCCCTCCCTCCACTCCTCCTCCTCCTCCTCCCTCATCTCCGCTGCAGCAGCACCCTCCCCTCGTACCTCCTCCACATCCTCCTCCTCTGGCCCCCTCCCCTCGCTCCACTCCTCGTCCTCCTCCTCCTCCCTCGTCTCCGCTCCTCTCACTCCTTCAAAACAAGTTTGATTGCGTCTGTGCCAGGGACAGCAGCAGCAGCAGGGGCAGGGGCAGGGGCACGGGCACGGGCAGGGCAGGGGCAGGGGCAGGGGCAGGGGCAGGGGCAGGGGCAGGGGCAGGGGCAGGGGCAGGGGCAGGGGCAGGGGCAGGGGCAGGTTCAGGGGCAGCAGGAGCGGGTACAGCAGCGGCTGTCGCAGCAGCAGGGGTGGGTGGATTGTTGAAGGTTCAGCTGGGGCAGCAGGCACTCGGCGGACTTCGGTGCAGGTGAATGTTGGAATGAAACGACAGTTCAGGTGAAGAGCAAAGCAAGGGTGATTGTGGTTTTTAATGGTAGGTGTTGTGCATAAACAAGCTGGTATTGTTGTCGACTGCCTATTGCTGCCTCTTTCCCCTCTATGTTGCACACATGAGCGCACGCGCACGCACGCACGCTCGCAATAGTGCACGCACACACATGCATCCGCACGCATACGTGCACACGCACGCATGCACAGTCACACACACGCATGTGCATACACACGCGCGCACATACGCACGCACTCACAGCCACAGCACACTCACATGCATGCATGCATGGAGCACACACACACACGCTCTCTATTTCTTTCCCCGTGTTCTCCCTGTCACCCGACCCCTTTTTCCATCAGGTCTCCTCCTCTCCCACTTCAGCCCACTCCACTCCCACAACAGCAGCAGCAGCAGCAGCAGCAGGTGGGGGAGCAGGTTCGGGGTTGCTGGTGACTCCTCGCAACGAGGAGACAACTCAACGCACAGCAGCAGCAGCAGCAGCAGCAGCAGCAGCAGCAGCAGCAGCAGCAGCAGCAGCAGCACAGCAGCAGCAGCAGCAGCAGCGAGCAGCAGCAAGCAGCAGCACAGCAGCAGCAGCAGCAGCAGCAGTTGCAGCAGCAGCAGCAGCAGCAGCTGCAGCAAAACCTGCTACAAGGCAGCTGCAAAGCCAGCAGCAACACATGCAGCTTCTGTTGCAGCAGCAGCAGCAGCAGCAGCAGAGCAGCAGCAGCAGCAGCAGCAGCAGCAGCAGCAGTTGCTGCATCGGCGCTCGTTCTCCTCCTCATCTCGCACCCAGCCACCGGTGTGTTGCGCCCATTGTTGCTTGCGTGCCACGAGGCTCCCACCCAAACACCACCTACAACCATACTGTCTCGCCCACATGCCGTGCGCATTGATTGTGGCCCACATGCCATGCACATTAATTGTGGCCCACATGCGCCGTGCGCGTCAATTGTGGACCCACATGCCACGCACATCAATTGTGACCCACATGCCATGCACATCATTGTGGCCCACATGCCATACGCGCCAATTTTTGACCCACATGCCATGCGCGTCAATTGTGACCCACATGCCGTGCGCGTCAATTTTGGCCCACATGTCATGCACATCAGTTGTGGCCCACATGCCATGCACATCAATTGTGGCCCACATGCCATACGCGCCAATTTTGACCCACATGCCATGCACATCAATTGTGGCCCACATGCCATGCACATCAATTGTGACCCACATGCCTGCCATGGCGAGCTCTGCACTCCCATTGCGCACTTTTCACTGCTCACATTGGTGTGTGTCGCCATCAATGCTTCCCTCCCTCGTGGCACCCATGGAACCTGGTGCATTCACCGCTGCTGCTGGTTGCTTTGCCTTCCTTCCACCAACATTCCATCGTCTACCTCTTTTCTTCTCCACCCCCTTTCTTTCTCCCAACTCATGGCCGAAAGCATATATTGAGTCAAAAGTAGACCCTTTTTTTTCACACCATCCCCCCCCCCCCCCCCCCCCCCCCCCCCCCCTCCTCCCCCGTCTCTCCCCTCACCCCCC